ACACACAGACTGTGAGTTAACGAAGTTGGGGCGGTGAAATCAACCCCGAATAACCTCCCTAGAGTGGTAACATCATTTGACATGCGTTTCGCACCTTCAAACTGCTTTTACAAGGCCACCAGCCACTTGACGACCCCTTGATGGCGAGGAACTCAAAGTAGTTGATCACTTCGCCTACCTTGGCACCAGTATCAGAAACGCCGGGTGCGTAGTAGCTGAAGCCAGTTCACTCATTGCAAAAGCTAGAACTGCGACATCTCTGGTGTCAGAAAGGCGTTACCATCTGTCTGAAAGGTTGTGTATACAAGACCACAGTGAGGATCGTCCTACTCTATGGGAATGAAACTTGGCCACTTCGGTCTACATATCTGAGGTGCCTTTGTCTTTAGTCATCGTTGTCTGCTAAGCATTGCTGGTGTCGGATGGCATCAGCGTGTCCGCAACGATGATGTGCGTAGGCGAATATTAGCCAGTGATAATCATGCTAGCCCATTAGAACAACAGATAGCACTGAATAAGTTGCGTTGACTCGGGCACGTGCTACGTATGCCTGGTCACCGCTTACCTAGGAGGGCGTTGTTTAGCCTGCCAGGTGTAGGACAGCGCAAAATTCGAGGTGAACAGAAGTTGACTTGGAAGCGTGAAATGAAGTCACTGGTGACCAAATTGGGTGCCGTTGGTCCGTCTCGCCTTCCGGGTTGGAGTCCACGTGACTCACCTTGTGCTTGGCTCGAGACTTTGCAGGACATGGCTCGTAACTGACACCAGTGGCGTGTCTGTCGTCTCCTATTCGGATTTTATCTCTTGTTTGTCATCTACGCGGTAACGTCTAATAGTGACGCGTGGGAATGAAAGCCGCAAGGAAGCTGTCTCGCTGATGCCGCCTTATCTTTGCACGATAGCCAAATGTTTGTGATAGTATATTGTTGACAAGATGTAGACACCTTGACGCTGAGTGTTTGTTTAAGCCATTACGGTTTTATCGCAGGTCCCCCTTCTCTCTGTTATTTTTTCCTTCTGTAGGTCGTCGTCGTTGTACGGCAGCGAAGCATCAGTTCAAGTGACTGAGGTACTGCTGTTGATGATGATGACCTACACAAGCTTGTGTTTACCGAGATGACATCGGGCCTTTCACGGGCTCGGTTGCTATGCCGTAACCGATTGCGTTCTTCAGATCACACCCTAGCGGCTAGTGAATGTCGGTTACTACTTCTGCACATTTCAAAGTTATGTCTGTCTGGGCAAAACCCTTTATTGGCCGATAATCACATCCACGAGGGGCACAACGAAGCTAACCTAAATATCACGTCGCCCTGCCCATCGTCTTCTTATCGCTTAAGTGCAGAATTTATGACATTAGCTGTTGTAATGCAGCCTGATTGAGCGCAGCCGGGTAGTCATTGGTGGCCTTGCAGTTACCAGCACCTTGTAACTGCTAGTCCTAATTGTTCGTTATTTCGGTTATCTGATCTAGTATATCTGCCCCGTTTCTTCCTGTTGCACTTTACTATGCTTGTTACGCACTTTATTGTTGCATTCCCTTGCTTGTATACAACCGACGATGCACTGACTGTAGCCACACACGCAAACACCTGCTCGTTCAGTGACTTGTCTCGTCTACTACAGCCATTACTGTACGATATTCTTTGCCATCGCGGTTCTCTCTCTACCGATAAATTTTCCCTATCACCCATCCAGATTTAACTCGCAACCGAGGATTCTTGGGTTCCCGTTGGTGGTGGGAGGATGAGGATTTCAGCCGTCCGTTCACTCATTTGGAACCCGAAACAGCGGCTCTTGTTCAATGGCTTCGGGACTACGAGCCTACTGCGGTGTTCGCTTTCCCAACTTCCTCCGCTCCTTCTATTGGCTATGGTGTGGGTGAGTTCACTACTCGGTTTGCATGCTACTGTGGTCGGCGAAATCATTATACGAAGTCTGCGTCTTGGAGGCTGATCTAGGTCCATATATTTAGTCTTACCGTCATGTAATTACTGTGCACTAGTTTGTTAATTAAACTTACCTCAGTAGATATCATCACAATTTCACCCAATTGTCCTTGATCAGAATGAAATGCATCGTTGAAAACCACTAGAGATGACTATAATTTTGCATCTGCCATCCGTACCGACGAAACCCCAGCACTCACCTGATTGACTCGCTATATACGTGTACGCCGTTCTCTTCATCGAACCACTTGCCGAAGCTAGGACGGCAACCTCTCCAAATGGTGACCACGCTTAACCAATTCATGAGTTGTGCTTGATTCCAAACATAGCGCGTGCTGCAGCGCCTCGCGTTTCTCGATCCGTATGAGTATTTTTCTTTATCCGCGTTCATAAGAAGAACTTGTGAGTTTGGAGTCCGGATTTTAATAGTGTTGCCTTCGCGAAGTCCTTTTGAAGCACACTTTGTGTGCGTAGATTGCGATGGTCAACCTAAACCTAGATCACGATGCACCATGGAGTCGATTCGGACACTGGGATCCGGCATTGGAAGCCAGTGTTGCCGCCGTTCGAAAACGCTGCACTCCGCAACCAGTTTTGCACTTATTTGTGAGATTCGAAACCACGGAACCTTTGGACTGTCAGCCAAAGCCTCTACCACCTAAGCCACCGGGTAGCGGCGAAAATCGCCCATCACAACGGTTTTCTTGCGCTTACTTTACGAATGGATTGCGACATAATCAAAATTTTGATCACAACGCACCCTGTAGTAAATTTCGGTTTCCGCCTTTTTGCCTGGTTTCAAGTGCGCATTTTTAGCCTTGATCGACTTGTGCCTCCCTTCTGAGGCGTGGTAACGGTCCTTCTATTTTTAACGTGGCCAGTTTCGCAATACTGTTGATCCCCATAAGCTTGTGTGTAGTTGTTCTGGCCCAAATTCATTTGGAGACTAAACTCATCTTTCCGATATTTTCCAGTCATTTACCTTTGCGTAAGTTCTGCTAACTTCTATATACTAACCACGGTGCTGGTTTTTGTTCGTTTTCGGTGGGTCTGGCTTGAATTAGCGAAACTCGTGACCGTTTCGAGCTAACATCCTTAGCCCACTGGTCAGGCCCGTCAATGCTTTATCTGTTGTACTATGTACGTATCATCCGAACTATGTGAATGAGGAGTATTCCGCTAGTCTAGCCCTCAGGTTCACCATCCATAAGCGAATGTCTCTTGGCGCTCTGCAATCACCTCCGTGTTCACAGTGGGAGCCACTGTTTGTTTTCGTTGGTTGCTCGTCCCCCAAACCTATCTATCGCAAGAGTGACAGTAGTGACTTACATTGCTAGTCCCCCCTTTGCAGAGCGATTTGATACGATTTTCACTCTCTCCTACTAGTATATGAAAACACGTGCTTTTTTCGTGAAATTTTTGCTCTTTGAATTCCTCATAGACTAGACAGTACGCCGTACCGACACTTCGCTGCCACGCAACCACAACCGGTCGCTCGTGGGCTAAGGGTACTGTGAGTGTCGCTTGGTCCGCTACTCAGGCTCGAACCGGTGACCTCCGGATTACCAGCCGAGCAAGTAGCTGGAATTCCGCATACTAGAGACTCGTTGTATCAGGTCCTCTTGGTTCGGTCATGCCCATTCAGGCGTGCCTTACATTATCGAGAATAAAATTTTCATTTATTTATAAAATACCTTTCATCCAAGGTACCAAGTCTGTTACGCCTATGCAGAGGACCGGAAGTGATTGTTACGCTCCGGCAGCAGATCGATATCGCTCATCTCCAACTGGTACACTACTACCTCTACATAAAATGGTTCATTTGACTCATTTCCATACTTCCAGGACGACATTCGCTCAATCCACATGTCGGTACAAAAACTGCCATATTAGCGCTCGGTATCCACCTATGGATCGCTGCCGGAAGCATCGCTTGCATCACAACGTGGAGACGTACCTACCTGTCCAATTGGCCACAGCACTTTCATGGCCATCTTCGGTGGCTTCACTCCTGAAATTCATTCTCTTTTCCTCAGAAAGTGATTTTGCTTTCATTCTTTATTCTCTATAGTTTCCTTGTATTTCTTATCTGGTTTTAGGCTTAGCATTTACAGCTTCCCAAAATTTAACCTTCGTTTCACCCTAGTCTTCGGACTCTTCGGATTCAGTAACACCAACTCACTTTTAAACTAGTTTTACTTCCGTTAACCATCGTAATCCGTTCTTCCTCTCTGCTAATTACTGAGTCTGTTGCTACTATGCTTGCATTGACACGAGCTGGATTTTCAGAGGTCCTATTGCCCTCCACCACCGCACGAATGTAACAGTCATTCTGGTCCAACTTAACCGGTTTGCTTGATTTCAACTTCTCACTTAGGTAAATAGCGAACAGGTCATTTGGGGATCAGCATCGGCAGTTCTCATCTGTCACATATAAACATAGTTGAAGCTGTTGCAAATAGGCACCACAGTTTGACTTCTGCAAAAATCGACATCGTCACACTTGAGCGTCTTTACTCGGGCCTTCGGACCACCCTTGGAAGTTAGCCTTGTTTTCAAGTATTTATTGCGAACTTTACAATTCATCCGACGGGAAATCTCCGAAGATATCGAAACATATCGTTTAAGGTACTGGTTTTTGCGTATTACACCCTGTCCATGAATGCCAATTGCTCAAGCCATCCCCGAAGTGGGTTTTGAGTATCTTTCGGAACCTGCAACATGCATATGTAACCACACAAGTATGAGAATAGGTCATAAAAAGTGGCTATCTACGTCATTTTTATTACATGAAAATTGCCCGAAAGATTATTTGCTTACCTATACTACTTTCGTTCTCTCCACTAATCTTTCCGCACTGCCTAATTCTTAGATCCATCTGAAACGGACTATGCACAAAACATCACCGCAGAATCCCACAACTGGCTCCAGTTCCTGGCATACTTGCTTGCACCCGGATTTCATCACTTTCCTCCCCATTGTTTTGAGCCTGCTTTGGATAAACCCAGTCCCCCGGATCACCGCCGCCGAGGGCTGATCGATCCTGTCGCGCATTCTGCTGATAGATCGGATTCGTTCGTCTCACTCGCTTCACGCTCTTTATCTTTGGCTTCCATGTCCCCACAATTGGCCTTGTCTGAAATGCAGACTGAACAACTGCAACACAGTACTTCCTTTCCCCCTCCTTTACCTCTCCCTGCTCCTATCAATATGGGCCTCTCTCTTTGTCCGGCTTGTCGTTCACCCACTCCGATAGGGGTCGCCAGAGTTTGGAAAGATTTCCGTCTGCCCAGCTTGTTGCTCGGTCTCATCGGCCACGCCACACTGACCGCTCCAGGAAGCTTTGGGCTTATTGGTGAAGTTCAGGTGAGTGAAACATCTCGGCGGAGTGTTCACACTGCATTCTCTCTCGGTTCTAGCCTCTCGGAGTTTGTACCTTGCTACCAGTCCATTCAAACTTCCGATGCTTTCCTCATTCGTGTTTCTCCACGACCACCATCTGTTGCCTTGTTCCAACTATGCCGTGCTCACCACTACGTCTTGTCACCCGGTTGACCGCATTCCGACGCCTATTCCGATTTTTGCAGCTGGCTTTATGTCATTGATTTGTACTCCCAGGTCGTACGAACTATCTCTGTATCTAGTGTGCCGAATTTATGTTCCGTTCAAGACTTACGAAATGAAGAATATTTGTCCTGAGTTCTTCTGCAATTAGGATCATTAAACAATTTTTCGGAACAACAGTTACCTTTGCTTACGCGAACGTTTCTTTCTGTGTATGCCTACGGATCGATCTTTGATGTGGCGGCTAATTGTTATGTGTACTATTGAATAAGCTTGCACCACCATTGCAGTGATTTGTATGCCTCCTCACCCAGTTGAACGACAAAATGGGTGCTTCTCTTTTGAATACTACTTTTACAAGAATGCTCAATAGTTCATGGTTCGGATACAGATGGGTTGACAAACCGCACCGGGCACGCACTGGTGTTGAATGCACCGAGTCTCCAGCGTTGGAATTCATGGCCTTCAAGTGGTTAACGAGCAAATTGCATGACTTGTCTTCTCCCTTGTGGTGCATCCTGGAAACACTGATGGCTGGGCGTCAATGGGCGTATCCATCAGCTCCAGGGCTGAGCCCGCATTAATGGATTGGTTTTCGTTGTACAGTCACCTGTGTGTAGCTTATTTGACAGCGTCGACACATGAAGCAACGCTACATGCTATTGGTTCGTAGTCTGCATTTGTACTACAACTGACTTCGATCTTAATACTGCCGACATTCTACCACGAATTTATCGTTATGCTTCACAATGCTACTAACTTTAATATAGTTCTGGTTGCTTGTGACATGAATGCTCACCTAGAAAGCCGAGCTCCTTAAGTGTGATTTCTGGACCTGATTACGAAAGCATGTAGGTATTTGTTAAACTTCGCTCCGCTCAACATTTGCTCATGGACTGCACTGCTTTCAGGCACATTGAATTTTGATATGTAACTTGGCGCCCCCAGCTGATCACATGGCCACGACTTTCAGGTTGTTTGACGCCGTTTGATTATGCATGATTTTTTAACACTTGTGTTGATTATGTTCTGTCGCATCCTTAGAGTGGGATGGGGGAGAGCAACACCGAGACCTTCCACTTCAGATACAATCCCAGTGATCGAAATGGCAGAGGTTGATTACAACGTCAGCCGAAGCCACAACTGAGATTGCGTGTCACAGTCTGACACATGGAGAGTGTCCCAGTCAATGATGGGTGATTATTTGAGAAAACTACTTCGTTTGGCACGTCAATTACACCTTCAATCCACTGTCGCAGAATCACCGGCCATTTGCTAGCCTATCAGAACTTGATGACGAGGAACTGAAGATAGTTACTCGATTGTCCAGTGTTAGCAACTGCATTGGGAGTGACGGGCTCGGTCTGCTGAAATCGGTCATCTTGTGAAAGCCAGAGCTGTTCTCTTGAAGTTGCGACATTTGTATCTGTTTTATTTTGATCTTGAAGGCTGTTTTCGCTGCATCAGTGAATATCGCTCATTTTTCATGCGTCTTCCGGTCCTCAAATATTTCTATGGAGTATTACTTTTGTCCATCAGCATCAGGGTGTCTGCAACCGTTAGGTGCTCAGGCGAGTATAAGTGATTTGCTTTTTGTTCAGCTCATTGAATCTGTTAGTCAAGCAATTGATTACGTTGATGCTGACACACACTGCGTTTGCCTGGTCATTGTTGGTTAAGAAGGCTTTTCCTTTTTAAGCTAATATGCGGCGTTAAGTCTCAAGAGAGGATCGAATGACGACAGTGGGAATTGGAATTTATAACCACTGACGGGTAAAAAATGTGTCAGCAGTATGCCGGTACGCAGTACCGACGCTTCGCTGCCGTGCAACCACCAACAATCGCGCGTGGGCTACAGGTACTGCGACGGTCGCCCGGTCCCTTACGCAGGCTCCAACCCGCGCCCTCGGAATAGAAGGAAAGCTTGTGATCCCTAAAGCTACGGGCTGGCACTTGATCAGGTGATCTTAAACCTGGTTGTGGTATGCCGGTTTTTCATTCTCGTTACCTCACTCAACTCAATTTGAACATACAAGATCTTTTTCATCACTTCCGGCTCAACACTGGGGATCGCGTGGCATTTCATTTGCCTTCCCATCCGAGCTGTGCAACACAACCCTGGTACGTTTCATGAACATGCTTTTAACTATCGCTGAATAACCACCAGTATGCTCCCTTTACTTCTATAACCCTTGCGCTTGATGACCGTAGTGGTATGACGATATGGTTTGTGAATACCTCTCCTTGGTTCCTATGCCTCTCCAAACAGTCCACATCTGGTGAACCAATCCCATGGGCTCGTGTTCATTTCGACAATATGCGCAGTGAGTTGTCCACTCGGTCCCGCATAAATCGCGGACAGTTCAGTATCGCACTACCTCCTGGCACCTTCCGAATTAGCATTCGCGCCTCTGGCTACCTGGACTTGGTGGAGCTCGTGACCATCGACCCGCGTGGAGGGACCGTTCACCGAATCTTTCGGATGATCCCTGTTAGTGCTCTATCTGCCACCACACGCACTTACCTTTTGGTCACTGCAGGTGAGTGGCTTTATTGTGTTTATTCCATTACCAAACTTGCCTTTCAAAGCTGTTATGCTAGCGGTCTGTCTTGTCTCTCTTCGCCAGGCTCCTTCGTAGCTTGCCTGCTATCAGCCACAACTATCTGGCTCTCTTACCGGTTCTGCTTCCGACCTCGGACTCCCTATGCACTCGCAAGGCGGACACTGGCGAGTAAAGCAAATTCGTCGAGTAAGTTCAACGATCCGGGTCATGACGGTCGCCGCGGCGCCTATCGTTTGATTCCATTAGGATCAGATGCGTATTCGATCGGGGACAATGAACACGAATCCGAGCAGGACGCACTTCATCAGTCCATGCTGAACCACGCACTTGAAGACGGAGACCAGGATGATCTGGACGAAGTTCCCTCCATGGATATTCAACCGAAGACTGGACTCTTGCTGACTCGCTCCAAGCGTGCACACAGTCATCAAAAACCAACCAATTTATCCGAAGACTCAGGTGGACTGGAAGAAGTCCCTCTCGTTTGATCAATCATCTACAACTCAACGCTGAATGCTTCTAAATGTGTTTGCTTTGCGCCTTTCTCATCGTCTTTTCGTATTATGCTCGCTGACGATTATATTCGGCGTTGTCTGAATCACTTTGTTTTTGCTTTGAGTCATTTTTCCCTTGTCTTTCTTATCAGTTACGTGACTTCCATTTTTGTTCATTTGCCACATACCAACTTGTTTCTTTCACATATGCGCAATGTTTGAACATCTGCTGGATCATGACATTAATATAATTCTTTTCACGTGCTGTTACGACCCCTGGATTCATCCCCACCGTTGTCTCTGCGTATGAGTCAGTGTCTTAACAATCTTTGGGTCATGAACTGCGGCCGCATGTTAATGTTTTGGCTACATTACAACGCTGCTGTAATCCCAGTGGACTGTGTTTCTCATTCCACTCTGCACATGTGACTCTCAGTTCCGGTGCCCGCCAACCGCGCCCAGGCTGGCACCATCCCGCGTTAAACACTACACTTATCTAGTACTCAGAAAGTTCTAAATGCTAACATGCACACTTTATGATTACGGCTTGATGCGGGTTAGGCGTCATATTTTTATACCCGTTTAGTCATGGACATCACAAGGTACCCTATATTACCGACTATAAGCGCATCCATGGATAGACCGACAGTGTAACGTTGCAATATCAAATTTGTCCGAAGTCGCAAGTCCTTACGCTAGCCAATCGCCAAAAATATCAACGAAATATTTTCTACGCTGTGCTTTTCTACCATGTTTTTCCCACGTTATTGTGTATGAGTATGTAGATTACTGTATGTTTCTGTTACTGCAATCCGTCGCGAACGTCAAGTGTGCAATATTCCGAGCATTTTTGCCACAAAAGCAACGTGTCTGGGTATATGCACGCTACCTGCAGTGCTGCGTAGACATCGTACAAAAATGAGACACATCGAATCCCCGTCTGGAATACCGTCCGTCACTAGCGAGTGATGCTAAGAGCAGAGGTATGCGGTGAATCCCTGAGTGGAGTTTGCATGTGACTTGTTTAGAATTGCGCATAATCTTTTTCATAAACCGACCCCCTCCCTCTCTACAGAAATGAAAAATTGCCCAAAGGTCGGCTTATATTCGATAATATACCATATGTTAATAGCCCAACATTGTGCACGAATGTCCGCTGCACAGATTGCCCCTTGTGTTTAGATGATGGTACCTGCATCGCTAGAACCCCTGTCTGGAAAACTAGTTCGGGTTCTGAAATTGGTTTACCTCCGTTTCACCGTTTCATTACAATCAAAAGTGGCAGCGATAGCCGGTGAGCTAAAGCACGAGAATGTTACAGCGTGAAGACCAGGCCAGTATGTAAACGCAGTGAGGCAGATCGCTTTTAGACAACCAAAGTGCGATCGAACTGACACAACACAGTCCGACCGCGTAATGATCGCATATGCCACGGTGTTCATAGCAATGGATGGTGGCAGCGTATGACGTTTAAATAATCTAGCCGGCCACAAAAAGGCATATTTCTAATGGAAGTCGCGTTGTACCCTTCTGCAGCATGATCAGTGTGACTAATCCGTTGAATGAGGACTAGGGATTTGATTATTTACCAACAATGAGCACGAATTGCCTTCCGGCTGGGCCCACCGATGAACCGCGTGTGGTCCAATAGTTAGGGATTAAAAGAGGACTCGGGTGTCACATCAAGCCGACCACCAAGTTCACAGACCGTGATGTTGAAATTTTCATTTAACACCAAACTGTGATTAGGTTTCCGCTGAGTCCCCATCAGTTCACAATGTGTGGGAGCTGGAAGGCGCGGTACTTCGATGGACTTTTGCATGGTGGGTGTGCACTAATAAGGAGACGAGAGGGCGCACACTTTTCAAACGGTATTCGGCTACCCACAAAGTGATTTTCTTCGGACAAAAAGGCTGTGAAAAGCTAGATTTTGTAAGGTAAAGAAATGTCAAACCAATTCGGTTGAAAGCGGAGGTAGTTCCAAAGATGGCACGAACGGAATCATAACAGAAAAGTTGTTCGAATAAAGCTGAAGTAGAAAAATCGATAGGAAGGAAAATAAAGAGGAACGGGGCCACACAAAAATGCACCGTACAGGGTTTCCTTGCGTATATGTACACAGACGTACAAAAATTTTGAATCTTGCGTGTGAGTGTTGTGGGAAGCAAGACCCAATAGTAAATCACAAGACGTGGCAAATTCGGTTGACGAGAGTGCACCACAGCGACGCCCAGTTACATGATTTTGGGCACGGGCGTTTAGCACACATTGCGAATGAACTTCACCAAGTGTTGGTACATGAGGTCTGTAGGGCTTTTCGGCTTGCTGATGTACGTGTGATCCGAGTCAATCCGAACGACTTCACCCATTTCGCGATCTGTGTGCGGATAAGTAATGAAAAAGAAAACGGACGTTAGGGGGAACTGTAGGCAAAGCAGTAGTTACCAAATGCGCAGTGATTGGGTAATGTGCTTCGGAGGTCAACTTTGAAAAACACCGAGGGACAACAACAACAGCATCTGTCAGTCATCTGTGTTTTACTGTACATTTAGTTGTGCATCATTCAACCTGGTAACCATACTGACGGTATTTGCTTCCGTATTTCCATATCTGTCTCAGTCTATTGTTGATACCCACACTTCTAACTAAACTTAAGGCTGCCGTTTCGGTTCTCATCCAAACGCTAACTAACCACTGACAGTCGTATTGGGTACTTATAATTCTACGTGCGATTTTCTAAAACTAGAGCAATATCGGGCTGTTTTTCTTTCATTCAATCCAAACTCATGCACGTACGTTGTGCTATGGTTCATGAGGGTTAATATTTCTCCATCCAGTTTGTGGTAGTGCATACACAAGTGTGAACAAATGCTCGTTCGCAACACTGCAGTACTGTAACTCGAACCAGGGACCTTTGGTATGTCAACTGATATCTCACGGTGAATGACTAAGTGGAAGCCATTTAGAAACACTTATAAGCACCACACTTCAGACAGATGGCATTTTCACTCGCGTAACACCATTATCTGCTGGTTCGATTTCTAAAAGGGACTCATCTAAAGTACAAATCCCGCTAACATCTGTTTGTGTCTCGATACATTCCCACTTAACAGAAGGATCTTATTACATTTCTTCTCGTGTGACACCGTGACTTATTGCGGGTTGCAATATGACGTCAATGTATCCTATCTCAAGTGTCTATACGCCCCCTTGTACTGCTGCCGCCTTCAGGTAAACGCACTGAGATTCAGACAAGTCATCAAGGTTGATTCCCGGAACAGCGGCAATACGTTGTGACATCCAAATCGAAATGCTTGGGCATAGGTAGTATTCTAGACACTTATGATGAATTGGTCGTGATATGCTAGCGAGCAGAACGAATGAATAAGGGGGAATAAGCAGTAACACATGACGGACCGCCTGGTGGTTCTACATCCCTGTTGATTCTCGCTCGACTCGGACAACAGGCGATCATAACCGGCTCTGGTGTTACCTTACGACACGGATAGCCTGCAGTGGACATAATCGCACCATTTCCATGCTAACTTGGAAAGTTGCTTACGCCATCTCCGTCATTTTTTTGTGTTAACCTTATTCTATATCCCGCATGTAAGTCGCGCTTTGGTACAGTTACATTCTAGAATGAATAACTACCGACTTTGTGCAATGTGGTATCCTTATTGCATCTGCCTAGAACGAATGAGCCACACCTAACTTACCGTTATTGAGCTCGTTTAACTCGGTTGTATTTCGCGATGAGTTCACGTGTTGTCCATTACAATGTACTCATCATGACCTATGCTATGCTATTCTTGCTATCTTCTCTATTGGAGTCCAGTACGGTGACATATCGAGATGGTGAGCTGCGGCATCTTTCTCTTCGCATTATTATTATTATCCGGCCGCGATCCACATCTCTATGTAAACTCCATGGTATTACTCATCAGACTATGCTATATACATCCTGCTCCTTGAAATCGAGTTGTAGATTATATAACCGTAGCTTGATCAGCTGCTCAATTCAAAGTACCACGACGCTTAGACAACCGGTAAATCGCAGAATAATGGTTCAGTCCATCCATGAGCTAATTCTTAATTGACGTGCGCGCGGTGGTTCCGAGCGAAATGTGTGCTCGATACGGATCAATGCTAGGGTGGCAAATTATTGTGTATGTTTCAAGTTCGATGGATACGTTTGAATCAAAAGGTTATCATCGTTTGACCGGTTACAGTACGCATAAAGTGTAAAGTTTGACACTTGGAACACAATGCTCAACGATTGTCCCTCCTGTGACCACATTGGACTATGCATTCGAAGAGAAATTTCCCTGGAAATTCTGTGGCAAGTGAACAATCCACATAATTAACCGAATAGCGATTATCACAATGTCGACAGTTCATATTCCGCTCCGCAGGTTAGTAATGAGATGGAGCATAGTTATAGTTCCATTTGTTCCTCAGGCATACTGAATTTACCGGGGTTTATAAAAACGCACGTACTTAGAGGATGGAATGCGGAAGCGCAGAGACGCTCATCAGAAGTTGCATTATGCATGGCCAATCTGTTGTATGGACGAAGTTTAATGTCAAACGCAATGGGAATAGTACGCCAGTGTATTAGTATATTACATCGGAAAGGAATCCGCGCATAGCGACAATCGTTTTATGAGCACAAAATGGCTGCACCCGGAGACGTACGATACAGATTTTTATCAAATAGCTTATGGTGACAACAGAGTACACATGGGTATGTACAAACGTTGGAACACTTGGACATTTGCAAAACAACGCAAGCACTGTTTGGAAAGTCGCAGGTTTCACATTGGGTACCGGGACTTAGTTGATGTCACCTGTCAATATCAAAGGTTGCGCATTAATCGTTCTTCGAGTATGTGCACGTACCTCGCGTAGCAGATGACCGAACCGATGGGCGACACGGAGAGCCAGAAGTGTACACTTCATCACATTCGCATGCTGTGCGATCTTCCCCATGAGCTACGCAAAACAGACTGTATGTGTAGACGGGAACACCTAAGTGCACACTATTTCACTGTACCAGTAGTTTAGTTATCCTTCTACCTAGCAGTTGCTTCACTATCGCTACATCGGGTTCCTTCAAATATGGATGCCCAACATTTAAGGCTGTCACGTCCAAATGTTGAAGAAAACATCAACAGTTCGTATTGGGTAGTTATTCTCATGCCTGCGTAAGTGGTTGTTAGCCTGACCTCCAAACGAAACCCATACACGTTTGTCGTACCATTGATGATGATGATGTGTAATGTGTCTATCCAGTTTGTGACAGCTCACACTTAAGTTTGGATAAACGCATGTGTATATGTTGTATTCGAACACGGATGACGCCAATCTATGTATATTTGTATACTGAATGAATTCGACGAGGATACTCATACCGCTTTCGTACGGCTAACTTAATGCTGGAAAACGGCACTCGGGCAAACCGAAAATAACATTATCAGAACTTGAAGGTGAGTTTGTGACAAACGCATGTTGATTACAGGTTTTGCGAATCCAAGTCAAATTTTGATCAATGCGAATTCCGTGGACTACTAAAAAGGGTGGTTGCTCAGGTGCAGGAAAAAACACTATTACAGGTGGAATAGAAGCATCATGAGTACACTCCCATTCGATTTACTAATCCAGGCCAATAAGGTGGCGTATGTGGTACGTTTGCCTGCGTGATGAGAAATCTTGGATTTCAGAAGTAGATGTTGCTTGAGCTCCCCGGTGTGGCTGCACCTGATGTGAATGTTGACAAGGTGCCTACCTGTCTATTACCCATTACCTCGTCCATACTAGCTCCAGGAGACAGTTGGTCGTTGCTGGTGGGGACAGGGTGCACCGTCCTCGTGACGGTGCTAGGCTCAAGAGTGGTTCCATCCTGTGTGGAAAGGGCTACGATCCAGCCACCGCAATGTGTACGTCTGGTGTGCATGATTTCCCAATTAGTCCGGAATGCTTCTGTTCTGCTTGTTGAAGGAGTGTTGGCCGGCTCCGTTGATGAAACATGGCTCCCATTCACATGCCTCCCGGTTTTATTCCTTTGGGTTTACACTGGATATGGGGTGTGTGGGTGGTGCAGCGCAAGCCACCCATGGCCCTCTGTAGGCGCAGGCGTCCTGTGACTGTCCCCATGGAGGTCACAGTGACAGGCAAATCCGGATAAGAACGCCGCCATATCATATATAAAGTGTGTGTGAGTATGCGTGTTCAACACTTGGCCAATACAGTTAAGTGTCGCCATGACGAATGCGAGTATAACGATCTGGTCGGAAATGCAAAACATTCTTAAGACCCCTGCTGCTTCGTATTTTGGCGCAGTTAGAAATTTTCAGACAAATTTCTGAGGTGCACAGAATCTCGTCATACAGATACATCGCTGTATACCAATTATTTGGGCGCAGTTACGCATATGTACAAATGATAAAAGAAGAAAGAACAAGTTGCATTGAGGGAAACGAGGAAAAAAAGTTCAACTGTCCCAGATATAGGCTCTTCAGCAGAACTTTACGAACAGAATCCGCAACAAACTTCCCGATGGTGTGGGGTGTTTGACCTGATCGCGACGGCCTATCACATGGCGGGAAGGCCGTCTCATTGATAGTATGCCACAAGGATGAGCTCTAGATGAATCAGTGGCGTTGTCTCACCTGAGCAGGTTTGTTAACTAATGGCTAATGCGCGGTATCTTAAGATCGAGCTCTCAAGCAAATAGCTGTATTATAGCAAAACAACGGTAAGCAGAGCAAAAAGAGAAAAGGATGTTTCAACGGCCGCGATGAAACAGTACAACATAATCTTGAAGTGATGTTTCGGTAAAGTATCAGTTGTGTCATATGTGATCAACAGAATAACAACTAGAGGGCGGTGCTTTCATCATTACAACCATAGCACAAAAAAGCATCAGTGGTATGCCGTACCAATGCTTCGCTGTCATGCAGACGCCAACAGTAAGCCTGATTATAACCGTAAGCATGAGAATGACAGAAAATGGAGCCATAAGAATGGGCGAAAATGCAGCGCGAAACCATACGTTTCACTCTATATTATCAGTGACACAATGCACTGTTGTGTCCAAGGTGATTCAGTATCGCTAATGTTCATAAAAGCAAACAGGAGGAGATCGAACTGAACGCTCTGACTAGCCTCGTTTAAGAAGTCCGTCACTGAATGACCTGGTGAACATACAATATCACTTTGCCACCGCCGAATACGTTACACCATTGTAGGCGAACGTCGATATCGGAATAACTGCATACGGTCAACTTCATCTATCATCATCAGCCATTTGGACTGTTGCTTCGCTGCAGTATGAAGACGGTGACTTGAGGAACAAATAACAGGGGAAAAGAGGGACCTAACATAAAGCCGTAATGGCCTAAGAAAACATTCAGGGTCAAGACGGCTACACCTTAACAGCAGCGTATCGTCACAAGCAGCTAGTTATCGTGCAAGGATAAGACGGCATCAGCGAGACAGCTTCCTTGCCGCTTTCACTATCGCGCGTCATAATCAGCCATTACCCCGTAGATAACTCAGCATCAAACACACTTTAAACAGGCAATCCGATTAGGAGACGGCAGCAGACGCGTCACTGGAGCCGAATGCGAGCCATGTCTTGCAAAGTCTAGAGCCTGACTTGAAATCCTCTGGGACATGGCGTGATCTCGTATTCAATGGCGGATATCTTGTAAGACCATTCAGTAACAATTTTGGAGTTTCTCTTCCCCAGGTTCGTCATTTTGTACTCAAATACATGTTGTGGGCCTGTGCCAATTGTGGAGAGACGTGTCCTTGAAATCGGTCATAGTTTTCGCATCCGATATATGGTTGGCGGCAACCGGTTCTGGATTTGCCTGTAACTGTGACCTCGATGACAACAGCCAAAGGATGCCTGCGCCCACAGAGGGACCATGAGTGGCTTGCGCTGCACCACCCACACACCCCATATCCAATATAAGCCCGAAGGAATAACCGCCATGTGAATGGCAGCTACGTTTCATCAACAGAGCAGGCTCACACTCCTTCACAAGCACGATGTATTTCGGGAATCAAGCGGACACAAGGCGGTGGCTGGACCGTAGTAAGCTCCACAGTTAGTGCATGGAACCAGTCTTTGGAACTAGCACGGTCATGCGCATCCCGTCGACTACAGCAACGACCAACTGCCTCCTGGAGCAAGTATAGACGAGGTAGTGGGTAATAGACAGGTGGGCACCTCGTCAACACTCACATCAAGCGCAGCCACACCGGGGATATCAAAACCACCAACACAAAATTTGAGAGAAACTTAACGCACAAAATTGATACGGTATATGCAGCAGAATAATAGAATTGAGCAAGTCAAATAAAGTGGAATACTTTTATCCAAGTTAAGAAGATCGAGGTTACTTATAAGTCGGTGTAGCCCAACTGCGATGAAGAGGTATGATGTATGGAACAAGAACGCCCGCATGAGATACGTATCCTATATATATATATATATATATATATATATATATATATATATATATATATATATTTCAAGGATACGTTTTTCCACAACCCGAAGGAGGTCGGCCAGTAAAACAATACAGGAGTTGGTGAAATCTCCGAGAAACCCGATCTTAAAGTAAGCTAAAGCAAAACCAATAACAGAAAGAGGTCATATAGCTTGCACACCAACAAGCATATTAGAATATTGTTGTCAGTCACTGCTACAGTCTTCTTGTCAATACGAAAGTCACCTTCAGTAACAACCAGATATACCTCGGGCTTATTCGTACAAATGAATGTCTCGGGTCCATTATAGCAAACAGTAGTCTAACATAGGGCAGCAAACTTAAGGGCAACCTGCATGGAGGAGAATCCGTATGGAAAACTGTCCGATTATGAATGGATTTCACCTGAGTTATCTAAATCAAAAGATAACCGCGAGCATTGAGAGACGACGCAAAGATGTGCATCGACTTGTTGCCACAGGGTAGTAAGTATGAGAGGAAAACTAACATGAAGGCCGTTGAAGACCACATTGAATCGCCGGATAGAAAGCCCAAAGATAGTAGGAGAAAGGGAAACGAAGGAACGGGTGTGGGCGACATTATGACAGCGTCAGATCGCAAGAAACCCTGTTTCGGTGATAACGCTAGGTGGGAGACCATCATCGAGGAGAAAAAACATACATGTTCAGGTGTGCACAAGAAAGCTGGTCAGTTAGTAGTCAATCGATGGGATCCCACTGTGAAAAGGAAGTGACTGCGGCTGATAGCATCTGTAATTACCTAGAGTGTCTTCAGGAACCAGTAGTACGGACCAGAAGCGATTGACGGGAGTCTCCTTTGTTTCCACCATTGTAAGGACCTTTACACGGGCCCGAACAGCCCAAGTGTTGAACCACGCATGCAAATCGAGTAGAAACTGCGAATCTGTGGCAACAAATGATCAGGAAAACGAGAACTAATGTTATGGATGACATGAGGAAAATAACATCAAAGCCAAAAAAATTAGAAATCAAAGGATCAAGAACAAATTAAGCATGCACATATGCTTTCCAACCCATACAAAATTGGCGTAGACGCAATGCACATCAATCCGGTGGGAGATAGACGCTGTAGAAGCCAGTTATAAGGTACCACTTTGACTGAGGGTAAAACAAAATCAAACATGTGCCCGTAGGCTCGGTAATCCAGGAATTGAGTTTAGTAAGTGGAAAATTCCCATTTCATTATCAAGAACGAAAGACTGAGGGTGAACAATTGTTTTCGATGATTCATCTTCAGACCTGTACAATCATATGGGTGAAATCGCAATGGGCAATTACAAGGGGATTAACGATCAGTTCAAATGAGATTGATCACGTGTCGATCAAAGGCATGAACCAGTAACAAACAGAAAACTAGGGTTGAGGTACCGTTGCACAATTGCAGTTGCTGTCCGAAGGATCCGTTGCTGGCTGTTCAGCTACCTTGGCCAGCCAAAACGGATCCTTCGGACAGCAACTGCAATTGTGCAACGGTACCTCAACCCTAGTTTTCTGTTTGTTACTGGTTCATGCCTTTGATCGACACGTGATCAATCTCATTTGAACTGATCGTTAATCCCCTTGTAATTGCCCATTGCGATTTCACCCATATGATTGTACAGGTCTGAAGATGAATCATCGAAAAGAATTGAGTTTACTGGCTTTCAGTATGAATGTCGTCTGGTAAATAAACCTCCGGCCTGTTGGTGCCTCGTGATTATGCACTGGTTTGGGGTTGAAGAAGCACATTAATTATACAGGCTTGAGGAGGATCTAAAGTGCAGAAAACTACGTGGGTACTTAAGAAAATGATTGATTCTGAGCTGATCGATGATCATCATATGAGTTCATCTAGATATGAGTCGTTTATATGAGCTACGCGGGAGCCGACATGGTAGGATGATACGTGGTGATGCCGATGGGTGAGGAGAGCAGCAGGAATGAAGCCGACATGGTCGTATGCGCTTGCATCGCAGGAGAAGAAACATGTTCCTCTACAGAGGACACACGAGAGCGTGGCAAAAACCATGGACAGATTAATGTCAAAGGAGAACAGAGTTAATAGAGTGCCAGCGAAAAAGACAAGGGTAAAGGAGCGGGGAACAGAACGCAAGGTTGTCACTGAATCAGTGACCTTTTCATATCCGATAAGTTCTCGAATCAGCGGTATGACTGTTTTCCAGAACAGTATTACAGTAAGAAATTTTTAATAATCGAAGTAAGTGCGTAAGCTGTAAATGATTACCTCTTCTGGGTTGAGAAAAAGAACCACAGAGCTCGTCTCAACGTTCTTCGTGGATCACACTTACCCAGAGCTCAGAGGATGTATTTTGCTAAATTGTCTGGTATGAGTAGCCCCGATAGTAACTGCAAAATACACTAAGTGTAGCTTAGCCGAGCGCCAACGTATCAAAATAACGTCTGCTCTCGTTCGACTAACATTGACACAAATCATTAAAACCCACTGTTCTCAGGACGAAGGCGTGATGAATAATAGCCAACAGGAGTGGATAATAAAACGCAGTTGAAATCCTGGAAACATCTGGCAGTTACAGATACATCCCACTGAACTTACTTCTTTCTAGCTGAATTGCCTCTGGAGTCAGTGTCCAACGGAATGGTCGACGGTAGAGTGCCAGTAAGGAGCGGTTTCCACGATGAGGAGCGCTGAGGAATATGATACCTTTGGTTGAATTCGTCAAATCCGAATCTCCCTCCGGAAAATCTTTAAATGCCTCCAGTTCTGAAGTACGAGGAGTAAAGCATTCTGATGCGCAAGCGTGTCCAGAAATAGGGTCTAATGGATCTCTAATATCAAAGTGGCCAGGCTGATTCGCAGGAAGAACAGACTCATCGGAAGAATCACAGAACCAATTTGTTTGCGGACTGAGTGACTGAGTTCCAAGTACATCTGGTTTCGGTTCAAAAACCTCTGGTAATCTGAAATCCAAAGTGGACTGCGGAGAATCCGACTGGACGGAGTCACTGAAGGCGTTGATGACAGTGTGCTCTGTGACATCTGAAAAAGGCTTTCGTGAAAAACGGAGAAGTTCCTTGACCAGTATACCTGTGGCAGAGTGAAAGGCGAATAAAGAAATTGGGAAAACATAGTCAGTACGTACAACTACGAAGTCAACGCAGCATAAAAAAATAGATACTCAAAATCATGAATGTGCTCGAGCACGGGCTAGTGACGTGGTGCCTAACTTACCTAGTCAGGCACGGTTAACTTGGCTGTCCAATGTCCCTGTTCAAAAAGTGCTTCTTGGAACTGACATGTATAGTAAAAAAAATCCCTTGAGTGCGCACGATGCCGCTATACATGCGGAAGAACCAAGTACTAAATGCGCGATGTAAATTCAATGGCCAAAGTGGTCTAAACCTTAAGTGAACTACCTAGTCCACCGTCCCTCCGAACGACACCCAGTAGACCGAATGTGTTGGATGATATGGTCCGAATGATTCCATTCGAATGTGAAATGATGTAGGAGGGTGATGAGTCGCAACAGGCATGTTTTCTATCAAGTGGCCTTCGTGTGGCTGTTTCATCTGGGGGAGTAACACTGGGAAAGCCCCATGCGCCGCAAGTCGACAACGATATTGTTGATTGGATCTGCTAAGTGAAATGCTGATAAGGAAAAGTTGTTCTCCAAATTGTGTGGTGCGCAAACGCATTTAATTTGTCCTTATGACATCACCGGTAAAATATTGCATTAGTTTTCTCTCTAACTAAATAGATCACCGAATTTTCGTTTTAATGGACAATTTCTCGGATTTCGTATATAAAGGTATGCCCTGGTTCTGGCTAGAATGCACAAACGTTGGCTATCGGAACATAGTACAAATGCCGCTCAGGTCATTAGCACTATGTATACGCACACAAGTACGCAACCGGTTAATTACCACAAATATTCTGTACTTCCCATCTACTTTTAACGCAAAAGAGCACCGGTGTTGCAGCACACAAATATTGAACTATATTGCAGATAACAATGCCACAAAACAAAACGATTTCCGAAGCAAAAATGTGTGGTGTCATGCGCTTATACATCATCAGCATCATGCTTAACTGAACTATTGCGCATCAGATCCTTCCGTCGGACACAAATCAAGTTGGTTCCACAGGCTTGTCTAGGGTAAAGGCGAGCACCGTAGGTGGAGTAGTCGCGATTAGATGACCAATTATCGCTCACCGGATACCGGTGTTCCTACGAAAATATAATCCCTGAATCTATCAACAAGATGAATGTCGCTCCACCGATTGTCGCCACGCAAATGTCAGACCGAAAGGCATAAACTATCCGGTAAGGACAGTGATTGTGTACCCGACACCAAAGTTCTACCCCCACATGGGCGCTCGATTAGTGGGACCCAGTTAGGGATGGAATTCCGTGCGCAGTGGTCTTAATGTCGTGCGTGCACATTGGATTACTTACACGTTAGGCTATGCATGCGAGCAACCATTCCAGTTCTATCTTCCCCGCGAAACCTAACAGCCAGAAGGACGTCAAAGTGGAAGATAGGCAGCGGTGCACTAGGTTGTTCTTAAAATCCGCATAGTGGGACCGAATGCACAAAGTTGATTTCCTGACAAACACATGTTGGGATACGAGGTAGCCGCTCGAGGGAGGAAAAAATTAACATGGCAGCGAGAAACGAAAACAATGACGACCAAACTCGGTGCCGTTGGCCCGTATCACCTTCCAAGCTACAGTCCAAATGACCAGCCTTGTACTTGGCTCCAGACGTTACAGGACATAGCTTTCAGTCGACACCAGTGACGTGCCTTCTATCGTCTCATATTTGGACTGTCTGTTTAAAGTGTGTCTGGTGCTGGGTTGTCTGCAGGGTAATGGCTGATTGTGCCGTGAAAGCTGCAAGGAAGCTGTCTGGCCGATTCCACCTTATTCGTGCATAGAGCCAGTTGTTTATGACGGTATGTTGTTGGCAAGGTGTAGGCGCCTTAACCTTGAATTTTTGTTTGGGGTATTAAAGTTTTACGCCAGGTCGCCCTTCTCCCCCTATTAATATTCTTCGTTCTGTAAGTTACCGTGGTTGCTCGGTTTACCGAACTCAACAGTCTGGTTTGCGGTGTTGAAGAGGTACATCAACCACTCGCCAACCTTGACGGCACCAAACCCGCTGGCGCTGACGGATTCCATCCACAGATTTTCAAGTCCCCATCAGCCATCATCTCACCCGCTGTGACTGCGTTGCTCAACAGGTTATCATCCGAAGGTTCATTGTAGAGTGAATGGAAATGCTCTGTGATAAAGCCGATTCCGGTAGGCTGTGTATACCTTTCTTTCTGCCAACTGTGTGGTTCGGATGTTGAATTGTGCCTCTGTTGCTCTCAGCGTTCAGTACACCGAAACAAAATGCAGTGCTCAGTAACAGAGTGGCGAAGCAATGGAAGCTGTCATTTGTTCAGATGTTAAATGGTACATCGAATATAAAGCGGGTCACAAACAATACAGCGTGAAAAATGGTTATTCAGGGTGCCAGAACGGGGTTACGGAAAGTAGCTAGTTGTGAAATAGAAGATGAGCGGAGGCCGTGAACGGTTGGCAAAAAACATGTACCCCTTTCGTTGTAAAAACCGCACCGTGCACCTACGATGCATCACTAGTTCGTAAATGGTACAGGCTCTGGTGAAAAAAAAGTGCGGAAAAAAGACGAAGCCGGTCATGGGGTGTCAGTGTTGGAAGAAGCAACACGGAAACACTTCCATTTCGGATACGGTCCTTGTGATCGGAATGACTGAAGTCTCAGAAGAGAATGCGTGTCTCAATCCAACCACACCGCTGGCTAGCCGAACAACCTCCACGTGGTGCCAGCTAAGTGGTCCAGGTTAATCCTGTTCCAGCGAATGTTTCGGCGGCAGTGTTCCAGGACGTGGTGGCTTTTCGCCTGTCAAGCGTTCTCCCTATAAAAAGCCACAAATGTCTGCTTAACAACACTGCGACGTGGCGGATATGACTCGCCACTAAATAAAGTCACTGCTTCCTGCCTTTCCGGAGGATGTTACCCTACTCACGGATGTCAGCCAAGTCGAAGATATTATATGATTCCTTCCTAAGTTGGCGAATTCACCGAACACAAGAACAAATTCAGTACAACAGTAACAAATTCTCACAACATGATTACTAACCCATGCACTTACATGTAAACCTAAAACATAACTCCAGTAGGTACTGGTTACATAGTAACACTTGTGACAATTACTGATTATACGCTCAGTATTACTATGATCATGGCTTTTTAGGCGTGTCCCGTTCTGTCGGGAATAAAACATTTATTTAGTTATTAATTTACTTTAAAGCCAACTATGCGCAGTGAGTAAGGTAATTCAACAATACGGTGATGGTGGATAGGAAGATGTCTGTCAACAACCACCATCATGTTCCTCAACAGCGTAAATAAGCGACTAAATTTGCTTGGATTTAGACTGTTGGTTAGTGACAATTCCAGGTTGGCACCGGCAATGTGCGATCACCTATAGAACACAGAGAGAAGTGATTCGCTGTTAAAATAACAAGGATCGGACAGCAGCCGACCAAAAGAAGTTTGCCCACAAGGCGATGATAAATGAAACGAAGGACTAATGATAAGACGCATTACATACTCAGCAACACGAATAGATACATGTTATAAATAACGGATCGGTTTAAGGCCGATATATGACGATCGAAGTTCAGCAATTGACCTGGGGAATTCCGTTGGCTAGTTTTTTTAGACGAAACAGTCGTAAACGTAACCCGTATAAACAGGAAGACTAAAAAAGTACTGTCACAATGATATTAAATGGTGAAAAAAGACATTTCACCTTCAAAAGAGGGATTTTCGATTTAATAAAGTGATTTGATGCGCAGTTCAAATCATCATTGATGGAGCTTTCATGTTATTGTTCAAAGAATCGGAGTCACTACCGACAAACAAGCATTGGATAAAATATCGCATGCGTAGACATCAAGGGTGTGTGTGTGTGTGTAGTATTAACCACGAAGTGTGTCAGCGTTATAGAGGGCCAGGTAGGGTGAGTGCCACCCGGTAACACTGACACATTGTGTGATTAACACCACATACAATTGATCGCTGTGGGATTTAGCTTGAGCAATTAGTCCACTCCGGTTTCTAAACATTCAGCTTTACTTACTGTTAAAGTTTCCATGTGATTCATTTGTGGTGTATTAGCGTGATGAAGAACCATTGAAAACAAAAGCTTATTCGCAACTAAGCGTATGCCTAACACGTTGGAAAGAAGGGGCAACCACTAAAATATTGCGAAAAAAACTGGCAAACTTCCAACAATAGTGACGGAAGATTCGACCCACGGACGGCTCATTCATTGGAACCGAGGTGCGATGGATCCAGTTGCAACGACTCACCTCGCCAGAATAATAATAATAATAATAAAGAACTGTGATAAGAAACTGTGGTTGAACGCAAATAGTACACAAGGAAACTGGAATCAGGACAGAAGTGCGGAGAACTAATCTAGCTGAAAGATTAACGACTGGATAAAATAAAAGAATCCAACAACGTCACTGGTTGTGTGAATAGACCATGGCTGATAGGGCCTCTATCTACTGATGTGGTCAATTCCGAAGCCACATTTACTGGCCACCTCGCCGTTTCGCTAAACTTTGTGCAGCCACAGCTATGGTGCACGGTTAGGAAGTCGGTCAACGGGTATAAGGAGGACACGATCTAGAAATTGCACTCCAACGCTCGAGTGAGGCACCAGAGAGTTTTTTTATAAAAAAAAACAAATATCGGACCATCGCGAGGAGACTGGACCTTAACGTGGTGCGATAGTTTGTGTGCCTCAGCGATCCACTGAGCTATGCTCGGTGGTGTTTTTTGTACCTTCAAAATCAATCATACCAGATTGGTCAATGGTTAGAGGCCAGGCAAACTCATTCCGCCGGCCCTCCAGATTGGAAATTAGAGTGAGGGTAGATCCTTACTCTAAAAAACTGGCTACGTGTAGTGCAGTGCCAAAAACTTCGCTGATTTGCGGTCAGGGTTTAGAAGCAAAGGTTTTGGTTGAGAACCCTCATCGTT